GGGATCTTGGTTAACCTAATTCCTGAAAAGAAAGATGAGATTGTGAAATCCTGGAGTGCTGATGAACTAGTCAGGCAACTTTACCACATCCAGCAGAATAAAAGATGTCTGATTGTTCTTGATGACATTTGGTCCTTTGATGCTTGGGAATGCATAAAAAATGCCTTCCCAACTAGAGAGAAGGGAAGCAAAATATTGGTTACTACTCGTAATAAAGATGTGGTGATACGCATGGATGCTTTTCACCATGAGCCTCGACTTTTGTCCTTTGACGAAAGCTGGGAACTGTTTCAAAAGAAAGCACTAGGAGAAAGATATAATAATCATGGTACGTCATTTTGCAAACGAATTTTCATATGGTTTTTTATCTAGTTTTCTATAAGCGCCAATGAGGAATGGCAATAACAGTAGCTGCTTAATTACTATCATTGTTTAAAGAAATATTCAAGGTTGGGACAAAATCCTGGCTGGCAAGATTGTAATTTACAGATGTTCCTGTTGGTAGATTTTTAAAGAAGGCATAACAATTATTGGGCTGTCAACGTCTTGGTTTTTTTTTTTTTTTTGGTTAATTGGCTTCTGGTTTTCTCTACAGAGGGTCCGATCCCTGGAGAACTGGCGCAAATTTCAAAGAAAATATTAGATGGATGCGGAGGCTTACCATTGGCTATTATTTTATGTGCGAGGATGTTAAGAACTGCAAAAGAAGATGAGTGGCTTAAGGTGCTTCAAAGTCTTCCTAAGACTAAGAGCCGCTGGATGTATGGAGGTCCTCAAGGTCTTGATTACCTATGGTCAGCTTACTGCGCTTTGCCACTGCGCCTAAAGGCGTGCTTTCTTTATTTGGGAAACTTCCCAAACAAATCAAGAATACAAGTAGAGAAGTTGTGCCAGCTTTGGATTGCTGAAGGTCTGATATCAGCTGAGGATAGGGCAAGTGAAGAAACAATGATGGATGTTGCAGCAAAATATTTCAGCGAATTGGTAGTAAGGAGCTTGGTAACTCTGGAAGAAGATGAAGTGTCAGACTTAAGGCTCATGTCCGGCCACGTTCATGATCTGATAAGAGATCTCTGCATATCGGTTGGGGCAGAGGTAGAATTTTTTGAGATCATGGAAAGAGAGGGAACTTCCTATTATCAACGACAAATGAGGTCAGAGGCACAAAGATGTGCTATATATTTCAATAGATATTACGACGTACCTGATGTTTTCCCCTCTTATAACCTTCGGTCTCTTTTATGCCTCAACTCTGAACAATCAGGGCAAGGATCTAGATGGCCACGGGGACTTTTTAATTTCAAAAAACTCAGATTGCTAAGAGTTCTGGATTTTGACAGAGTTAGTTTTCAGGATGGAAAGCTTCCTGAGGGAGTAGGAGAGTTAGTCCACTTGAGATACTTGAGTTTTCGAGGATGTTACCTGGAGCATTTACCATCATATATTGGCAACTTTTTGTACTTGCAAACCCTCGACCTAAGGGTTCAAAAAGATTGCATAATGACCATTTCAAATGTCATTTGGAAGCTCAAGCGATTAAGACATCTGTATTTCCCTCTAGCATTTCAAACTTCTGATCATCATGGTATGTTGAAACTAGATAGCTTGAAAGAACTAGAGATACTTGAGGGATTGGATACAAGTGTGTGCAAGGCTGAGGACCTCATAAAGCTGACCAACCTTCGGATTCTAGCAGCAACTGCGGAAGGAAACCTCAAGGACTTGGAGCTCATCATCCGCTGCATAGGCATCAACTCAAGCCACTTGAGGAGGACATCACTTGACATTAAAAATTTTGATTGTTACTCCCAGGAGCAGCTGTCTTTCATACGAAGATTATTCAGCTGTCATGTTCTTGATACTCTGCAAATAGAAGGGCACATAGGAAAAATGTCAGACATTGGTACAATCTCTGGAAGATTTACTGAGATTGTGTTAAATGGTTCTGAACTTGATCAAGACCCTATGCCAACACTGGAGAACCTTCCCAACCTAAGGATCCTTGTCTTAGAAGTCGAGGCATACTTAGGAAAGAAATTGCATTGTTCTGATACAGGTTTTCCTGAACTCAGGAGTTTAAAGCTCTCCAAGTTGTACAACTTAGAAGAATGGGAGGTGGACGAAGGAGCATTGCAAAAGCTTTCTACTTTAGAGGTTTCCATGTGCAGGAGAATCAAAAAGCTTCCTCAGGGATTACAAAGCATCATTACTCTCAGAAGGCTGAAGGTCAGCATGATGCCACAACAATTCTTAGGCAGGCTACAAATGAAGAATGGCACAGGAGGAGAAGATCTTCACAAAATCAACTCGAAGTGTTCCATGGAATTTGGAAGTGATGATCCTTGGCTTGAGTCCACCAATCCAGCGAGTCAGGTAATCCTTCACCATCTCCCCGTGGAATTTTATTTACATGTCAAATCTTTCATCCTTCAAGAAAATTTGTTGCTACAGGTAGGACTTCTCGATGCCAAACACACTAGTAAATATTCATTCTTAGACTAATTTAATACAAGATGGAAGTAATGTACAGTTTGATACATTGCACTAGCTGTCACTGTAGTTGATACTTCAGAGAAGGCCTCCTTTTTGAATCCCTCTAGATTCAGTTTTTAGGTCAATAAAATTTTACTTCTATATAAAAGCAGTCCTAAACACCTATGATATCACATACCTTTTTTGGGTTTTTTTGAATCTTCAATTTTCAGGACCAAAATAAACTAGCACAGACTCAAAATTTTCCTGTGCCTCTTCAGTCTTATATTCAAGCTTGGAATATAGAGTAACAAGCTTGTTTACTGTGTTTAATACTCCACATTGCAGCTAGCAATACAGGAATTCCCAGAAACAATAACACTAACTACGATTGAATCCCAATCCCAGAAACAGCTTGTATGACTTGAGAGCATTCCTTGAATAATGTTATTAGTCTAATAGAGATGTTGTCAGATTAGACATCCTAACCTCTTTTATTTATTTATTTATTGGTTTTTTATTTTGCAGCAAAACAATTCCTTTGATGGCAGAATCACCGAATCTCAGGCTTCAAGTTCAACTCATAGTCCAAACATAACTGGAAGTTTTGCATGCTTACCAGAAACTGAGAGGGAAAGAGATGTTTACCTTCAATGATCCCAGTTGAGAAAATGTACCAAATTGTGAACTTTCATCTCCACTTTAACTTGCTTGTGCCCTGCTCCAACATTGTGGCATGGCCAAGGTATGCTCTTCTCAGAAGTCAGACCGGAGAAGAAAGATGGATATCAGTCAAGCTCAAGCTCCAGACACTGTCAGAAGTTCAGTCTGGACTCCGAGAAACGAATTGAAGGAGGATGTTTACCTTAACGAGAGTTGCACTAGCCAATCCCTGTTCTTGAGGAAAGGCTTCTTTCTTGCGCCGTAATCTTCAAATCACTCACCAAATGCCCTGCTTCAATATTTTGCCATTGGTTAAATGAATTTTCAATTGTTAATTTGAACTTTATCATGTCAAAAGACTTTCACTTATGAAAGCTGTATTCTGAATTTCTGTTGTTGTATTTCTATGTAATAGTAAATGAGCTCATTTCCTGTGACAATCTCTTCATTGAGTGTGGATTAGGCTCTTCTTTGCATGAATAATGTTGGCCATACAATCTCATTTTTTGGTCTAAAATAGTATTATGCTTATGCTTCTCTCCTTGATAAGATGTAAAATGCTCTTGGCTCTGTTATTGCTTCCAGTTGATTTCTGTTGTCTCAATGCATAATGATTATTTCTTTATGCCTAAACTATAGCTATAGAGGTACACTCATTCAATTTTCGCCATTTTCTTTTTACTTTCTGTTCATTGGAGAAGGGAAACTTGCAGAAGCTCAGACATGTTTTTTGGAGTGTAGAAAGCTATTTGGATTAGAGATGCATGTAGCTCCGTTTAGATGTACATTCATCCAGTATCTTAGGTTAGAAAGAAGATGATTACCATATTTTTACAGAAGACATGATAACACGCATAGCAGAAAGCCGGTAGATAGCATCATCTAGCAAGGTTCATTGACACCATCACATCGTCAAATAAGTTCTAAAATTTATAACCATAAAAAGCTTCTGCCAAATTTCTGTAATTCTATATAAGGTCATGCGATTATTTTCTAAGGAATATATCTTCTTTTTTTTTCAATCTAGCCCTTGTGCCAACTTGGAATCATTTTTTTTAAACCATATTTTAACTTCTCTGATCCCAAAGTGGATTCAAGCAGGCATGGTTGAGATTGGTGGCTATATTTTTCTGGATAAAATCCATACAAACGCTATGGTTGAAAGTTAGGATGTCCTTTTAACGTTCAAAAATGTTTGTAGTACCTCTCGTAATTCAAACTAATATGGAATTTAATTAACAAACTTTTCAAATTAATTTGAATAATGTTTGTAATATCCCCTTATGATTCAAACTAATTTGAAATTTAATCGATAACACGCTGTTACTTATAAAAGTGATATTTCACGAGATAATTCCTATTTTAATTCTTTCTTTTGCTTTATATATTTTTCCTTTGTCACAAGAAATCCACAGCCTCCTTTCTCCCCTCACCACCACCTTCTTTCCCTCTCCCGACCAGCACCACAACCACATCCCTCTTTTCTTCTCTCCCCCTCCACGACACCATCTCCCTCCTCTTCCTTCTCTTTCCCCCTTCCTCATCCTCTTCCCCCTCTTCCTCCCCTCTCTCTCTCTTTCTCTCCCTTAATTTCCCGCTACCGCCCTCCTCTCTCCCACCCCTCCTGCTACCTCTCCCCCTTCTCCATTGACCAGATTTGGTCCCTTAAATTTTGGTGTAAATTTCAACTGATCAACTCCTTTAACTAAGTCATTGATTACGCTAAAAGCATAGTACAAATTTTACACCAAATATAGTAAGAAATACGCAAACGATTTGAATTGGATAGAACTCCCCGCGTGTGAGGCCCTAATCCGTTATTTGATAGCTACAACTAATGTAAAATAATGCTCAGACAAAAGATCTTGACAAAAAGGACAAATGTATTGTACATAACTGTATGCGCCCTTAAACCAATAAACTTTAGCAACTGAAACCATATGTGTTTGTACAGAGTCATAGAGTGCTGTACTCTCAACATGGAAATTCTTTTAATCAACCAATTCTGTACTACGCACGCCAACTACATCCGTTATCCCTTGCCACTGTTGAGAATTTGACAGAAGTATGACTAAGTATGGTGCATAACACTACATGCAATTGATCTCTTAATTAGCATAGACCACCTTAAAAACAAGCAAAAAAGATTGCAACACAGCATATCGAAGCATGGACACCCTTTTCCAGCTTCATTCTCTGAGAATTATCCGCGGGATCTAACACCTAATGAGAGAGACAATGAGTGAGTGAGTCAGTCAGTCAGTCATACAAAGAAAGTACCATAAAATTGAAGAGTTGGATTAGCTCTACGGAAAACATTTAAGTAGAAGGCCGGAAAGGCTCTTTTAACTGATGGGAAAAAACCCAGGTGAGGTAACCAGTAACTTAAACTGATGCAACTATCAGTTCAGTTGTTGCCAGAAATATATACTGATAAGAAATCTATTGGTACTATGTTGGAATCAGACAAGAGAAAGAAGAATGGTTGAGCATTCTGGCAGTATTACTTGCCGGTAAATAGAGCCAAAAATCAAGATGAGTAATGCATTAAAAGTGTGTTTGCATTCTGCAGTTCAATTTGAGCAGTTCATGCAATTACTGAATTCCTCATATTTCTACAACTAACTGATCCAACAACGAAAAGAAATAATATATGAAAGTTACACTGCATAACAATTAAAACATTATAACACAACTTCTAATGACTTGTTATTAACTAGTAAAGTGAACTTGTAATCTAAGACTAGTACCATTGTCGTGTAATAACATTTACAAGTGTCTACATTAAGAACAGTTTAAGGCTCAGAACTTGTTTCAAACATGACTTTTGAGTCTTTAACTAATAGTAATACTTCGGAACAGTTTAAGTCGGCTTTTTCAAACTTTTAACAGGATACAAAGCCATATAAGAAAAGAAGATTTACATTTGCTTTCCTAGAAAACCAAATAGTGTCTCAGTTTGGTTTGGTTAGTACAGCTTTATTACTAAACAAACAAGACAATTAGTTTTCTCAAATAAATTCACAGGAAGCTGAACTTCACCAACGCTGCTATAACATGAAGGTTTTAAGCTTAATGAATTTCTAACTATTAAATAACAAAAATAATAGGAAGATTTTCTGCTTAAGAGTTTTCTGGTCACAGCACCTTGCATGATTAATGGAACAGTTAGCACGGAAAAGCAAACCATTTTGCATGAACTGTAACAGAGACAACAAGATCAAACAATTCCACAAAACATAGATGGAAAATTAAGTGATCGTATCTTGTTTACCAAAATCAGGTTGAATTCAAAGTCAGGTGCTCAGAGCTCACTAAGTCACTCTAGCAACCCTTGTAAGTTTAGCACCTGATTCTCATAGGTCAAAAGGAACAAAAGTTCCCATCCTTACCTATAAAGACATCATATAACCCAACAACAACATTGACTTTCTGATGTTCACTTGCAGCCACAATCTTCACAGTTTAAATGGTGAGACTAAAAATTCTGAAAATAGGCTGTGGTTCTACTACTGGAGACGTCATTTATAGAGAATAGAGGATAAAGCATACCCTCATAGCTAACAAACAACTATACAGCTTTCTGTAGAAAAAATTTGTAGATCAAATGCCAAGCTGAAATCTGCTGAAGTTTGTCACATACGAAAAAACTGGAAAATTTGATCTAAGCCACATCATTTATCCATACAAAGAGCTAATACATTAAGGCACACGTGCTTATTACAGTCTCTTCCTACAGTTTCTACTCAAGTCCCTAAACGAAATATTTCATTTGATTCTATAAAAGACACTATCTCACATATTATCTTCATGATGCCCGAAGGACATTGAAATAACTTTTCAGTTTTCCTTCCAAAGCAATAAAAATCTGGCACCAACTCATCTCTTGCTTTTATTATGTGAACCTACTGAAGAGAGCAATTGTTGTTAAAATCCCAAAATATCATTCAGGTAATTGTAACCTCTAAACGACCACTACTACGTGTCAACCTGCTGAAGCATATAAAGATGACAAGAGATGAGAAGGCACACCTACTTTTCAAAGATTTCTTGTCTCGGCAGAATTGACTACCGCAGCCACACTTGAAAGCCTTCACTGGATGAGTATGATCACTGAAGTCAATGCCATAGTCCTGCAACACGCAAAAAAACTTGTTTCATGATTGTTGAATATGAATGTAAATGAGCATAAATGCGCTAAAACTCAAGGGCAGTTTTACGATGTGACCCATGCCAGGAAACTACTTTATAACTGAGATTTGATGAAAAATTTTACGAGAACACTCGACTCACCACTCTTTTGGGTTTTGGACTCTTCTCCATACATCTACAGTACCACTGCTTTTGAAAATTTGAACAAGATGGACAGACAAAAGGCACAAAGAACAAGATTCTGTTTCGGGACATCATTTACCCATTCCAATTGACAGGTGCCTTGCATCATTTTACCATAATAGATTCTAAGACCATCTTATGACAAAGATACAAAGTTATGGTAGCATACTTACCCACGTCAACTCTTCAAAAGCATCAACTTTCCTTGTCGTGAAAAAAGCAAGCTGCAGGTTGTAGGAAAGGAAGAGAATTCTGGCTGTTAACTCCCTCGAATATACCATATTTAGGCATATATTCAAAGAGAAAATGTTTCAAGACAAAGCTACATAAACTATACATGGTAATAGTGATGATCTGGAGTCTCCACTTCAACTGGAATCTCAACCAAGTTTGCATCGTCACATCTAAACAAAAGAAAGAAATATAAATACTGCTACACACAGATAGGCAAAAATATAAAAGAGACTCAGCCTCATAAGACTAAACCAGAGAATTAGCTTAAAGCCTCCAGAACTAACTAGATGCAGACCATCAATACATTCAAGATAGTGGAAAAACAATCAAAGACAAACTTTAAAACAAGAAAGTTGCACTAGGGTCCTGCTGTTGAAAATTAGTCTCATATCTTTTATCTTCCAACAGTGCAACCTATGCTGACCAAACATTGATAAGAGTATCAACTTGGATGTGGACCTAAACACTTTATTCCGTTTTAATCATTAAAAGTTTTAATATACTTTGTCATAGTAAAGGAACCAAGGAATATAAGGTTTATCAATTAAACCAAGAAAGCTAAATTTACTACAACTCAGAGAAAACAAAGATCCTTTGACAGAGACTATTAGTACAACAGAAGCATTGCCAGAAACACTTAAGCCCTTATATAGTATACCTGTGATTGACAAATCTAGCAACATTTCCATAAAAGGTAGCGTCCAAACAAAGGGCTTCCTCATCCTTCAGGACTCCTTCGGTACACCAGTCCGCATCTAGCAGCACAGGATATGTGTGCTTCTTTCCAGTGTGTTGTGAATTTCGGTCAAAAAGTTCCATGTTGGTCACTATTTCTCCCACATACTCACAAATAAAGGCACCTTTAGGCAAGTCCTCAAGGGTTCTAAGACCCCATCCTTTTCCTTCGGGTGTCATAAACACCTGAACATAGGAAGCGTTGATATCTCAATCACCAATAAAAGCATAATCATGATCTAGATTAAATAACATACATAACACAGTGGATGACAATATGCAGCACAAGTTTTATATCAGCATAACAGTGAGACTGTTATGTCATTAACATGTCTAACCTGCAATTTGCATGTTATGCCTCGCTGAACAACGCGATTGCCACAATCCTTAATACAACCACATTTATACCAGCACTCTTTTATAAACTTCCTGACAAGATGGCCCTTGCATTTGCCAGATAAGTTTTTATCTTTGGACCTTTCTAGTGGACACTCTTGACAGTAGAAAAGATTTTTCTGCTGGGGACTCCGATTCATCAACATACAGTCTTCAAGAAACTTTTCTTTAACAATACCCCCTGGCATGTAAGCAAACTCACCACCAGTTTCACCAGCACAAGCACAAGGGATTTTGGAAGATAAACAATCTCCAAAGCAATTGGAACAGCAATTCTCATCAGATATACGAGCAAGAAGAAATTTAACATACGCACTTTGATAAGTGATGTTTCTGGGAATGTACTTAAAAATAGGCTGATGCTCATTGTTAATTTCATTTATCAATGAAATCTCCAAATTCTCTTCCCCTCTTGTAATATCATCAATATAATAAGCAGAACTGAGCATGTCATTAGAAAAATGTTGCGTCTGAACAATCACCATACTGGTTGAAGTTGAAGATTTTTGGTCTCCAAGTGCTAGACTGTTTTTGTTCCGTTCACTGAAGGACCCCTGCATGGTTAAATCTATCTTGCAGCGGCTTAAGTTAAAACAATTCAAACTTTGAAACTTTGGAATCTTGGGTGGAGCTTCATTTAGGCTTTGAAACTCTACAGACCCCAGTGAAATATTCGGCGCAACGCAAAAACCAACTTGATGACTGACATTCCTATTTAAAACATCTTGAGTATCTAAAATTCTAGGAGCAACTGGATTGGCATGTGCATCAGCAGAACTTACTCCATCATCAAGAGTGGTGTTGGTCCCCACTGCTAAAAAGCCCTCACATATATCTTTCATCAGATTCATCACAGAGAAACCAGATTGATTGATTCTGTATGATTTATGAAGCTTTTCCTCCATCCGCCTAAAGAGGGCATCTAAACTTGGAATACAAAAATTTGATGGAAGGGAAGATTCATAGATTATAGAAAGTTTAACCTCCCCGCTGGAAGAAGAAGCAATGTCTATTTGTGAAGAGGTTGAGGATTTATTTTCCTCTTTTGTTGCAACTGAACATTCATATTCCAGACGATTTCCTTGAGGAAGAGAATCCTTTCCACTTGAAGATTCATCTTCATAACATAGAGAGAATGCAGCTAAAAAGAGTACAGATAAAGCATACATCAAAAAGCACCACATTACTAAATCACTAAAGTGAAAATATCAGATTATCACAAGTAACTTAAATTGACTCAAGAACAGTATGTACTGGGTTAATGAGGGAGAACCTTTCCATTTCACATTCCAAAATAAGGTTATGCTTGGAAAAGGAAGCCAACATGCAATCATGCTGTAAATAGCATATCATTGTGCAAGTACATGTGTGTCATATTATGCAACTCAGGAGTTCCACTTAGAGAATGCTCCTTCTTGGAGTTGTGGGATGTTAATTCTCAAACATAACTTGCATAAAAAGTCAACAATGTACCTCATTATTTTGAGACTATAAAATAAGGCTAATAAAATGACATATAAATTCTGCCTCAAAAGGAAACAATTTCTTACATGGATCTTCCATGTCAAGATCAATCAGTTCAAGTGATGTTGAAAAAGGTTCTTTTGCATTAGAAGAATCACCTTGAGTCAACAATTCCACATTATCTGGACATGGAGACAAAGTAAAATCAATTTATACAAAAGGATACAAGTAGAGAAGATTAGAGGCAATGAAAGATAAATCAGGTGTTAATGACATTCATTGTACATAGAGCAGTTATCTTTGCTGTTCACATATTTCCAGGAAACTTGCACAAAATTTGAGATTCTCTTTCTTCGCAAAGTGAAAATTCTTACACTTATCTTATTATCTCTCTTTCATCCTGACAATTCTCTTCCTTACCTATTTACTTGTCTTAAATTCTTGTCTGCCTCAAATAGGAAATATTATCTTACTTGTATCTTCCATGTCGAGATCAATAACTTCAAGGGATGTTGAAATATGTACTTTTGCATTAGAAGAATCACCTTGAGTCAACAACTTCACATTATCAGGACGTGGACACAAGATAAAGTCAATTTACACAAAAAGACACAATTAGAGAAGATTACATGCAATGAAAGATACATCAAGTGTTTAGTGACATTGGACATATAGCAGTTATCTTACTGCTCATATACTGCCAGGGGAAATGGTAAAATCAATTTACACAGAAGGATACAAGTAGAGGAGATTAGAGGCAATGAAATATGAATCAGGTGTTTAATGACATTCATTGGACATAGAGCAGTTATCTTTACTGTTATCATATTTCCTGGAGAAATATGACAAAAAATTTGAGATGAACAGTCTTACACTTTTCTTAGTATCTCTCTTTAAACCTAACATTTATCTTCCTTACCTATTTACTATTTCTAAGTTCTCATTTTCTCCCTTTCCACTTAATATGTCACTTTCCCCATTAATTTTATTCCTTGCATGTTTGTCTGCCAGAGAATCAAGGATGCCTACTTTTAAGCAACTAGTGCATGCAGAGGAACTCTATGCACTCCTGAAGTGTTTCATACCTTATGCATTCAGTCAAAGCTTTCTATTTTAATATATGTCCAAGTAACTTAAGGCAGGAAGAAATACCAGGAAGAACTACAGAGAGAGGAACCTCAAGCTCTGATAGGTCATCAGGCAACAGCTCTTTTTTACCTGGAATAATGGAATAATTTTCCATAAGCATATTTGTCTGGTTAAAAGATTACTATCATGTAAAACACTGTTCTCTCCCTAGGAAACAGTATGCTTGCCTGTTTCATCTACCATTCTGGGAACGATTGAACAGGAGGTGTAAGTATCACAATTCTCATTAAGTTGTGTTCCTGGTGAGAGCAAATCAGACTCGTTGGTTTTATCATGAGCCGACACATGAATTTTCTTTTTTGGTTTTGATCCTGAAGAAGAATTTGGAGTAGTGGTTTTCACTTCTCTTCGATAATGTGGCACCGGAGACAGGACCTTGGCTTCTGTTTCATTATCAAAGAGATGAACATGAACCGACTCAATCATCTTTTCCTTCCCATTAGATTCAGGAATTACATATTCAACATGATGAACTGGCTTATCCATAGTTCCTTTAAAACTTGGGCTGGAATCACCAGGAGAAGACAAAGCTTGAACAGCTTGACTTCTCAATCTTGACTTTTTCAATGGTGGCTCATCCTCTTCTGGCTCATCTACTAAGTGGAATTTCTGCTGTTCCCTTTCCTGTCTCGAGAATAAAACCATTAATAATAAGCATAAATATCATAGCTTATGGTATGTCAACTTTGGATGGATGTACCAGAAGTACATAGATTGCACATCCAAAACTTAGTTAATTGGCAAAATTTTTTCTCCTCAACTGATACAAGGGGTTGAGCAAATATATGACAACTATGTGGACAACCTGATATAACAAGCACTCAAGTTATCAAAGGATTTGTAAATGCAATAAAGACGGTTAAACCTTGCATTCCTCACTCTCAAGAATAGCATCCACCAGAACAGTATAGTTCTGATCCTCAATATGCTGCCAATTTTGGTTATACACGTCCAAAAGACTCTTTAATACAGGTTTTACAATATGCTGAGGATAACCGAGAGCTCTCATAGCCTTGTAAGCCTTTGCAAACTTAGGATTTGGCGCCATAAGTTTGTAATTCTGGATTTCTACATTGACCGCAGAAAAGGCTCTAGTTTCCAGCCCTACAACAAATGTCAAGCTTCAAAAGCTACACAAACAATACAAGCAACACTTCGGTTGGATGCAACTAAAGGATTTGCATCCAAGGACTAATGCAAAAGAAAATAATAATAGCACAATTACAATTTACAATCAAAGTGATGATTCTGAACATAGTTAATAAGACAGAAAAGCAAAAAAGTAACGGTACTAAGCTGAGTAATAAACAGGTTAAGAATTAGAACAATTAGAAGACTAACAATGACAGTGGAAGTGGAGTGCTATATTATATTTCCCTTGGCACATTGAACTGCTAGCAGCCTTACTATCGACCCAAACCCAAACCATGAACACCACAACTCCAGTTACAATCAGAGAAAGTTATGATCCACCTCTGATCTAAACCAGAAATCCATGGTTAGGAAAATTTAAATCTCTTACAACAAATATAAATTTTAATCTTCCTAAAAGCATAAGTGCCAACCTCGTCCAAATTGACACTTCAGCTCCAGAAAATCAACAAAACTAGGATAAACTATTTATTAAGAAAGGGCCACACAACTAAAATTGACGACTTCTAGCAGCTATTTTGGAACTAAAATTGACAAAATAAATATATGTAGTGATATATGGAGTCGACAAACTCTAAAAGTTGATAACATTAGCAGATTCGCCTCAAGTTACAAGTTTAATGACAATTCGACAAAGGAAACACAGAGATTGTTACATCCAAATAGTTTGGTAATGGTTGAGTTTTTCCAAACATGAACAAACCAATGTCAAAATAGAGCATGAAGTTCACTACACGATCCCCTCCCTTGACTATCATCTTTATGCGACTCCTATTTAACTCTGCTGGCTATAAGATCAGCGATTCAGCTAGCAATTTTTAATGTCTTTTAGCCAGAGTTCATAAAGCTTCAGTTTTTTCTTTCAAATAAAATTACTAATCAAAGTGAATCAATTTATTTTTTTATCTGGTTAACTAAGGATATACACATCTCATCAAGTTGTGCCCACTCATATAGCATAATTCAGCAATGAACCTATTCAGGTGTCAGCTGCACAATCAGCCAGTTAGCAACAAGAAAAATGACAAAATACTAGAGATATTCAACATATCTGGTTCCAATTGACCTCTGGTTCAACTATTAATTATTCTATTTAATAGGACTGCAATCTAGTCAAGTTAAGCTACCGCCATTTTTTATGCTGCTTAGTACATATTCGAAACTGGAGCTCAAACGGTCCTGTAACTCAATTTAAAGAACACTTTTACTCTAACTCGAACTAGTCAAGCGTCACCACAATAACTACAAGAACTAAATAATTTCGACTAATTTTTTTTTCTCCCTTGTATTATTTCATGACAGGAAGCATACCTTTAGAACCCACCAACAGAATAAATGAATAAACAAAAACTACCTCATTTTGAAGAAGCATTTTTACCAAATCTACAAAATTGAACGAGACACTCCCAAAAAAGGAAAAAGTTAAGGATAGAAATCAACTTAAACGAAACGACCCATTTTCTTTGTGACATAAACGAAAAGAAAACATTAAAAAAGGATACAAGTTAACTAAAAGAAAAAACCCTTTTTTATAAGAGAAAAGGAAAATGACCCAAAGAGTTTGCCAAAATAAATAGCACGTTAAAAATCCCAAAAGGAAGAAATATTCAAAAACCAAAAACCCAGTAAAATTCTACGATCAAATTTCCTTTTACTAAACCCTTCGACCGAAAAAACCCATCAATAATATTTATAGAGTTACCATTTTTACATGCCAGTTTTATGAAAACAGGGGGGTAGTGTACCAGGATTACTTAAGAATATGGGTTTGACTTGCCCATTTTAAATAATCATTTCTAAGCATAAAATACTCACTGATAATATAAAGAAAAATCAAGCAATTTCTTGTAGAAAACAGAGCCCGCACTACGAGTTATCCATTTTTGTCCAGGTTTTAGCTCAATGGTTGATAATAGAGTTCAACAAGAAGTAGCACTGATTAGTTCAAGGGCCTAAAGCAGACTCTAAAACCCTAAATCTGAGATTTTGACTATACATTTTGCACAAATCACAAGTAAAAAACATTAATATTATAGGATGAAGGAGGGATAGGAGCTTACCCCACTTGGAGTTGAGGTGAGAGACTTTTCTTTGAAGTCAAGAAAATTGGAGAGAAAAGAAGAGAAGAGATAAACAAGAATATGAATAGACTTGTGTAAGATCTTAAATTTATATTACAAAGGTAGAGATGTATTACTAAATCTACATCTTGTACAAGTTTTAATGTTATCGGTACAAGTTACGCATTTAATTTATGCGACGTAAAGATGTATGATTTTTTTTTTTTAATAAAATATCATACTTTCATTAAAAGTTGCATTGAACAATATTACTATTTCAAGTGACGCACAATGAATGGCTAATTTGTTTTTCAGTTAGGCAAAAGCAATAAGATGTTCTTTTAACTATAAAATAAAATTTTGTTAATTTTAAAATTTATTTGTGGACTCATTCCTTGTACATTTTAGTACTTTCTAGGGTAATGTTGAATTCAGATTCAGAATTGGAGATGTTTTAGAGAAATTGAATGTTTTATTAGATGGTAATGTAAATTCCAAATTCAATTTGTAGATGTTGTAGAGAAATTGGATGTTTGACTACAGATGCAAAGTGATTTGCAGGGACAATTCTAAGCTTTGTAGTTTAATTTTTCAACTTAAGTTTACACGACCCCTGATCTTTGAATTGGCCATTTGTCTTTAATTCTCCGATCGTGTCAAAATTGAATATATTAGGAACCAAATTTTGTTTTTGTCAAAGTTCGGGGACCACTATGATCAAATTGAAACTTGAGAGACCAAATTTATTTTCTTTCAAGTTTTAGGGGACATTTCTTTTGGTGCAATGCCCAAGCTTTGGAGCACTCCCCTTCCCCTTGTAATGCCCAAACATAAATCTTTTGACAACAAACCCATAAAAGTGGTAGACAACCATTCAAATTTATGTGTACAAACCATTGGCCCTTAGCTACAAACTGTGTTTTGTCAACTCACCAGAAAACTTGGAAGCACTCAGAAATTTCATATCCATTTGGTAGTAAAAGCAAAACATGTGGAGATCATAGCATAACAGACCACAACTAGAGCAAGTACTTACCTACAGAATTGTTAAAACATATCAAGAATTCTGTTTCCCTTTCTTTTTTTTTTCCTGTTGGCAGCAGCAGATAGTTTAGATACAGTTTGAGTTTAGTAGCCTCAACTACAAATACAGCAGGACAGCACAAAAGCCAGAACCATGACAATCAAACTTGGTACCTCAACATTATGTATATTATGTTAGCTACAAACTACGAACTTTGATATGATTTGAGAGATGGAACTACATTAATCCTGAATCCTGAATTATGTGGTTTCAACTCCTGTACAATTTGGGTCGAAGCGAAGGACTATTACTATGAATAATTGCTGCAGCAATTGAGAAAGACTGGAGGGCTGACAGAGTCGACCGGAAATGAATATAGTATAAGCCATCATGAATGTTTGTCATTTTCATGATAGGTGAAATTTGCCGGGAACCCTGCAAAATTCAAAGGGGAAAAAGTTATCCTGATTCTTCATCTGTGAACGCATGGCTGTGTTGCAGGAAGTTTCCTTCCTTTTCATTTCTCCTTGACCAATTAGGCTTAGTAAAGCAAAAGAAAGCATCTGTCTGAGTTCCTCATGGAAGAATGATATGAGTTCTGCTTAGATAGGCATGAGCCATTGGCGGAACTAAAATTTTTGAATAATACAAATGGGATAAAAGAAAGACAACCAGAGAACGAGGAAGAAACTTGGCATACCTCTACAAAGAAGTCAACTGTCTTGCACTCTCCAGAATTATCTGAATGGGGCAGATTCTCAATTCTGTTTGTTCTTGTACTGATTACAGTGAGCGGGCACCCGATATCCCAACCTCCGCATTCACAATGCCCACCGGAGTGCCATCTCTCCAAGAGGCTTGATGGCCCGCCTTTCCTGGCTCTTGGTCCACCGTGAAAACCTGCTGGAACTAGAATATTCATGCTTGTTGAGCATTCTCCACCATCTCGTTGGCCACGTTCTGAAATTGATGAATTTTCTGAAACTGCATCAGTCTGGATGTTGCCAGATTTCCTCAGAAATTTCAAACCCCAACCACCAATTTCTGGCTCCTTAGGTTTGTGAGGTATATGGTCCTTCACAACTATGGCAGCCAACTCAAGATTTGGTGGAATGTCATTTTCCAGAAGATTGGCCGGACTCTGATCAAAATTGTCACATAGATCATCAGAAGACTCCCAGGATGTGTCTTCAAGGATAATACTCGTTCCCCATAACTTTGAAGACGTTCTTTGCTTACGAGACTGGCTTGTCCTGAAAACATCTGCTACCTTCTTTGTCAGCCCTTTGTTCTTTTTAAGAACACTAACTGAGGTTTGGGTCTCTTGCATCCAACTTTCACTGGAACCAAACAAAACAAATTGTGTCTCCATGATTTCTGAATTCCTGGGGCACAATGTTATTGAAGTAGACACTTTCATCTTAGCAACAAGATCTAACTCTCTATCCCGAATATTCAGGTCTCTCTTGGGACCTGATTTTAAATGAAATGAGTAAATATAGTCGAGAGACTTGTCCTCTGGTGACTGGATCTTCAGTAAGTTGGCAGCATAAACCTCCCCTTGATCATCCACAGAGAAAAGATAATTGGGGCATCCATCCTTCCACGTGCACTGCAGCATTCCTTGGAAAATAGCAGCTGATGCAGAGAAAGAAGACTGATCAGAGCTGGTAGAATTTGTGCTTGATACAGAAGCCAGTCTCTTGTGCACTGGCTCAGATCCATATTCATTGTCTCCAAGCACCACGTCCTTCAGTTTATTAGGCTTACTGGTATTGAATTTAACAGGAGAGCTAATAAAATCAGAAGCAACTGCTTCTTTGATGTCCACTAGACCTCTTCCTCCATTGCTGGCATTAGAATCGAGGGCTCCCAACTGATGAAGCAACGGGCTCCTCAAAATGTTTATCATGCTCTTGCTGGCAGAGATTGTGCCCAGAATCCTTTCTCCTGCAGAACTTATTGCAACACTATCTGTTAAAAGAGCCAATGGATGTTCAATAACTAACCTAGCCATATCATATGCACGTCTACTACTAATTCCTCTTGAACTTAAGTCATTGTGAAAGACCCCAATAGACGAAAAATTGCATGAAAATACTCCAAACGCACTGATATGCATCCATTCCAGACAGCGACGAAGGTATTTTTCATCAAAAGTTATAATGTGCTTCGGAATTGCATTATCTAGACCATAGAGCTTTTGGAAGAACCACTGCCTACTGCAACTATTTCTTCCCGATATGCTTAGAACAACTATGTGGTCAGACTCTTTCTTTGGCAGGAAATCTTCAGACAAAGTAATCCCTTCTGCTGAGTCTCTACTCTTGCTCACAGACTGCAATGAATCTTCTTCCTCCAGGTCATCTTTCTCCAGGACATCTTTGCTTCTCATTTTCTGCTTGTAATCGAGTTGAAAACATCTACTGCGCTCAAATGTCCTAATCTAATTTCAATTTAGGTGCCAAGTTCAAGCATCAAGTGGAAAACAACTCAGCCTCAACCTTGATGATGTGCAACTGATAATCTGGAAATCAAGTAGCACCACATGATTATTTTATGAAGTGCCAAAATTAATTTAAGAAATGAGTAGAGGATGGATACAAATTTTTTATGCTGTAACTAGCATCAGCTATCAAATTAGAGAAAAGGAAGGACAAAGAGCATAATTTTGTCAAAGCCAAGAAAGCTGCAATCTCTTTTTATGATTCAACCCTCAAGAAATTTTGGTACAAGAGCTAGTGTATACTTCTGATTCAGAAATAGAGGGCTAATTGCCCAACGGTCAACCTTGATTTCAACAGAAAATACCTAGCAAATTAGGTAAAAACATCATTGAAATGTCAGAACTCTTTCACAAGGTCAGAACAAATGCAGTATAAAATTGAAATAAAAGACTAGAAAGCAAAGGCAAAACTTGTAATAGATCCGGGTATCAAGAACCAACTCAGGACAATCAAAAAACACATCAACCAGAACAAAGGAACCACAAGTCCAGTATGAGAAACAAGCAAAAGTAGAAACAATAAACAGACCTCAATAAAACAAACGTAAACTGAAAGTTATACAACTAAAATGAAGATATATATATATATATACCTCTCCCCCCAAACAACAAAAACAAAACAGACAGTTAAGAGGTTGGGGGTGGTTGGTGATATTTAGAGCTATACAGAACGTATAAAAGAATTGCAATTGCATGTAATTAATATCGGACTGCAAATATAAACAGAAAATACAACCAATCGAAGGAGCCCTATTGCTTTACTTCTTATTAAGACTCTAAACAGCAACTTCATGTTAAATATGGAGTAGCAAATTTAATTTAAGAAGCCTCAGCTTCCCACCAATCAAACATTTCTCAACCAAACAC